GCTTTACCCTGGCTCTTTCATAAACCCTGATACGATTCCATTTCTTTAACGCGTAGGTATGAAAAGATATGGAATAAACTGGGAAGATGAAGAGCATTTGCCTGTAAGAAAACTACAGCAAGGTATAATGAGGATGATTTTATTTTTGACCAGCTACCCCTAATTAGTCACTTTCTGAAGGCTCCCTTTGCACTCTCTCTACCAGGAAAATAAAAGCCGCTAGTTTTCCAATAAATAGTAAAGTCTTTTCAATATCACCCTCAAATCGGATGCAAAAAATGAGCATTGTACTGTGTCACATAACCAGACGGTCTTACTTGGAAAAAAGAATGACGGTTTCACGTTTACAGAAGTTTAAGACCAAGGACACAAAAAAAAAAAGACAATTTCTTTGTGTGTGTATGTGCTTTTCATTAACATCATTATTATTTTTAGTCAGGACTTAATATGGATGTTAAGTAAGACATAAAATGTGTTTTAATTTTCGGTCTGGTTTTTTTCTTCTTTCAGACATATGTTTCATACCTCTCGCATTTCTGGCTCGACAACAGTGCGATGTAACTTAAAATGAGTTTAGAATTATTGTAGAACCAGATGATAATAAAAGTAGCATATGGAGGTTGCCTCCAAATATTCGTTTGAAGAAACTTTTGCTGTGGGTTTGATGCAAACACTTAATGTCCTCTTCTGTATTTTATTGAAAATGCTCCCTCATGTGTAACTAAGCGACTTCTTTTTTTTTGAAAACGCACGAATTCTGAAGCCATCTTGTATGTATTCGGCCGCTTGAAAGCAGAAACGTACCTACAACCTTCCTAATCAACCCTCAGCTTACCATTAGTTTTTGTTTTAAAGATGGCAACTCCTTTTACTCCGAACGCAAGCCATTAACTTTCTCAGTTCGGTTTTCGTGTGTACAAGAACATCGCGACAAATGAGTCAAGCAACTGAGGATCTGCTAAAAAGCTAATAAACATGGCTTGCAGAAGTTATTTGTAGTAAGCTCCTCCCCTCTTTTGACGGGTTTGTCCGTTATAAAACATTAGTAATAATTTACTTATTCATAGTATCTGCTAATTACTTGTAATGGAAATACATCTTGGCAAGCTTCAATGAGCTATTCAAAGGAGATCGTCCAATTATGCGGAACCATAGAAATTGAGAAATGAAAATCATTCATAAAGATAATCATTGTGAGTTTTATTCTTAATCAAGAACTAAATGACCGATGATGAATTATAAAAGATAAAACACTTCACACGTTTTTGAACATAATATGTTTGGTTTTCAATTAGAAGAAAAATTATGCTTTTAAAATTTTCGGATCATGTGTATCAAAATATTGGGATCAATTTTCCGTATATTACTCCAAGTTTATGCATTTCTTTATTTTTAGACGAATAAGTTTTATAATGTCGCTAAGGGACATTAGTGCTTTAATTTGTCGCTGAGGGATTTGGACGATATTGGTATTAATTATTCCCAAAGTTTTTATGTATAAATAGTAGTACTGAATACATATTTAGATCAAATATATTTCAAAAGATTCGGGGAAAGAACGAACGATCTGGAGTTATTCTGTAAATTGTCAAAGGTACAGTATTCTGAAATTTTTTTCCTATATTATAAATATTGATTCCAGTTTGCACACATAAGATAATTTCTTGTATTTCACCATTTATTGCTAATGTAATTTTTCAATGTATATATATTTTTCTGAGATGGTCACAAACTCTTTCCGTGATGGTCTCAAACTTTTGGCTTGAGGTTTTGATCAAACGTTTGCCGAGACACATTTCATGTGATGTGTAAACATAATGTAAACACTGAGTTGTCTAAACAAGACAATTTGGTTTCATCAACTGAGTCGATAATGTAAATTTACCACCGCAAAGATTTTCTAAAGCTGACGTTTCGAACGTTCGTCCATCGTCATCGCGAAGATTGGTAACCTCCAGGATCCCCATGGAAGGCCAAAGAAGCATATCGAGTTTCCATCCAAATTCCTCGTCGGCTCCTTCCATGATTTTTCTCTTTAATTTGTCACGATGGACCTGGAAATGTCTTTTTAATTTGAATTTCATTCACTTTTGATCGTTCCTTCTCCTTTCCTCTCGAAACTAGGTCGACGAAATATTTTTGAAAAAGAATATGGCGTACATAATTTTCATCACTTTACTTTGCTGTCTGACAACAATAATTGCAGAAATAGGTAAGGCGGTCCCTGATCAATAATTTCGTAGTTGAAATTCATAAGTTCTACGCCTATTACATTTTCCAGTTCTGCTTGTTCATTTGTATAAAGCCTTAACTCAAGGTTTAATGAAATGGAAATGAAAGTTTTGAAATGAGAAATTCTGGCTTATATGTTATCTATCATTGACATAAACCTCCCTTTTGTTAAGGTATAGCTAAATTTATATTTACTAGATCTGTAGTTTAAATTTATATTTACTAGATTTGTAGTTAGGACGTGTAGGTCCCACAAGCACTGGGAAAAGATTACGTGCCTTCGTTTGCTCAGTATTTAGTCGAAAAATAGAGTAAATGGTAAATTGAAGAGTAAATTGAACCCGGTGGGAACATGTGATCGTGTGATTTGATCGTTTAGGCGAGAAAAGGGTGGTCCAGGGAAAGACTGCTGTCGGTAGTAGTGACTGATATCTCGACAACCTTAGCGGAAATCAAAATTAGAGTCTAGCATAGAGTCAGTCAGGTGTATTAAGTCCGGTTCGTATAAACTGATTGGTCAGTTTAGCCGTGATATCATTGTCGATAGAGACGTAAATTTCCTTTTAAAAAAAAAAAGGCCTTTAGGAGATGAACTTTTTTTACTATGTTTTCCTCACAGACTGTGAATTCGATGTGTGTGGCTCGAGGCATTGTCCACCAAAAGGTTTCGATATAGGCGTGGAAACAGTTAAGCACGGTGACGTGGAATGCAAATGTATGATATGCATAAAGAAGCCAACAAAAATTCCATGGTAAGAAATACGAGCTAGAATTATTGTTCAAATATGGTTGTTCATGTCGTTAGAAATACGTGATAACGCAGAAAAAGTTCAAAGGAGGTTCAATTCAAAGCAATTAGGGCACAATCATTAGGGCCGTACAAAGTTCACCTTAGCCTGTACAATTATAAGGTAAGTGGTGGGGAAAATGACTCCACTACCCCTCCCCTCTCCCCACCATTCCCCCGCTCTCCCCCTCACTGGTTTCTCTGTACCAGGCTTTCCCTAAACTTATCAATCCGATATAGCGGCTTTGATACACGATCGGAAAATTGATCATTCGCTCATTTCTCGTAATTCCTTCACAATTACGGACTCGAAAAAAATAGTATGGAACTCGTAAAATATCCTCGCATAGCAAGCCGTCGAATAAGGTGTGTCTACTCAATGTTGGGATTTTTATGAATCATTGTTGAGAGCAGCCTTTAATGGCCATTTGTCCATTTCCATATTCCCGCTTTCAGATATTTCACCGACTAATACGATTCCATCGCCATTTTCTTTGACGCACAGGTATATGGAGATATGGGAAAAAATAGGAAAATAAAGACCATTTGCCCGTAAGTACAGTACAGTGTATTTCTCCTTGAGTGACAGTAGTCACCCCAGGAGCAGGAAGAAACGTGTGGCAACCAGCACGTGGCAAGGTCCAGTAAATTGTGTGTGAGAGAATAAAACGGCTTTTCAACGTCCGTTTTTGGAATAGAGCAGCTAAACAATGCATGTGAAGACATGCATACATACTTGAAATTCTTTAAATAGCCTTAAAAACCTTTCTCAGACTCTTATTTTGCCTTGCAAATAAAACAGGTGGCTACGATCAATGATTTTGCTCTTCATCGGAAGAAACATATTCCCTGCCTTCGGGTCGAACAACAAAAGATATCAGTATTTTTAAAAACTGTCATTTAGTCAAAAATGTACATTTGTATCATTTGAATCATATATATTGCAATTGTCTAAACTGGTTTTATCTTCTTTCAGATACAAATTTTGTCCCATCGCCCTGGTGTTACGACAGGAACTCGATGTCAACATTTTAAACTTGGTTTAAATCTACTAGAGAAACTAGATACGGAATAAAATAGCTCATTGCATTTGCTCAGAAATGAGTATTTGAAGAAACTGATTTTCATGTGACACACGCCCTTTCTTCTCTCGAAATCATAATTATTCTCGGGATCAGTTCACCGTACGTCTCTTTCTATAGGGCTATGCTCGTTTCCTCTACTTCCCTCAGGTCTTGGGTATTGGATTCTTGACATTATGATGTAAACTCTCAGTGCCAGTTATTTACACGAGGTTTACCCAAACCGCAGTTTTACGCAGGCAGTGGGCCTTTTTACGGTATTCTCTATAAGAGGGTTGATCTCATAAATAAATGTCCTTTCACTGCCAGCTTTTGGCCCCCTTGATCTTGACACTCTTCACCAAGAGGAAAGTTCAGATAAAAGTTTCAGCTAAATTCAAGATAGTTTAGAACACAGTTTTGTTAAACAATGGCTAAACGTTGTTTCAATAACCGGCCCTTAACATTTGAGTTTTTTTTTTTTGTCCGTTCATTAGATGATAATAAAACATTGATTGCCAGTTCAGGGACGGGAGAAAAGGTATACGGGAGGGGGAAGGGGTGGGGACTAATGTCAGGGGTTGGGCTTAGTAAAACAGAGCCCCAATCTTGTCCCCTCGATGAGCACCCAAAGCTAAGACCACCTAAGTGACCAAAGTTTTTTTACCCTGTCCATTCAAGATGGATATGTTCTTGATCTTTTCCTCTCTGACCTTAACTCTTTGACCCCCTAAGAGTGACTATCATCTAATTTCTCTTTACAATATCACCCCTGAATCAAACATTAAGGTCATGAGAATAAAGGAAATGATCACCAAATAAATAAGCTCTTGATTGTTACACAAATTCTCCTTGTCATCACCTTAAGAAATGTATAGAGAACAGTATGGAGAATATGCATACTGATTTAAGGGTGCAAAGGGCTAATATGGAGCTGTTATAGAGAGATTATGACGGGATGACTGTCATGAAGCTGTCATGCATGATCAAGTCGAACTGATGATAGTCTAAGAAATCCAAATCTTTAATTTTAAGAGCCACAAAACACTGCTCTTGACTCCAGGTTGGTCATGTCTGTCAAACATAAATACAACTTAAACTAAACAAAGGAATTTGCCCAATCCATTCCTTAACAATTTTATAACAAAAGCAATACTAAATTGAAGTGACGTTATTTTTCAAATGAAAGGTTTCCGATTAATTTCCCCATGAGCTGTTAAAAGTGCTCAAGCTTTTCCCCGCTAATTCTACTTAAAAAAGGAACACGATAACGTTTTCCCTCGACAAAAACTTAGATTATTACATGTCCATCAGCCGCAAAAGCTCGTATGGATCCATATGCTGTCTTGGCTCGGGATTCGGTTCGCGCCGGCTGATCATCGGTGCGATAATATTACCGCATGCTTTGATCATTTCATTATTAAACAAAAAGCCTTCCCACTCAAGCTTATCATCGCCTGCACCATTCATGCACAGCGCCTGCTTGTCAGATGTTCTCTTACAGGACTCAGACTGCCCACATGATTCTGTACATTGCCTTATGCAAGACTTGTACATCATATTCTTTTCCTCTGCCTGATCAAACTCGATCATGCGAAACCGTGTGCGTCCATTACTGTATATGGCCAGCGAAACCAGCAGCAAGAAAATGATCCAGGACTTCATCGGGGAATTCTGTCGGAGAGTGTTTCAGATACTGGACCTAGGATAATAATGCCAAAAAATTGCTCAACAGAGGTCGTTATCTTGATTTCTATAGCTTTAACTCATCTCGCTTCTTGTTAAGTTCTGACTCTCGCGAAGATGATTTTAACTTTTTTTCCATGAAACCAAACCCGCCCTAGCAAGTCGTATCAAGAATTTTTTTTTTTTTCCCTCACCAAGATTTCAACCGATAAAAATCAATCTAAATCTTATGACATTGGTTTACGATTGGAGAAGTTTTTTTTTTTTTTTATCTCGCATATAAAGCAATCTAAAACAGTGCAAAACAACAATTTAGGGACGGTGATATGACTACATTTTCTCATATCGTAGCACTGGTAAATGCAATATCTGTATAGGGCTCCTCTTGGCCTCAGATATGCCAATGAGAATCTTCTGGCGTAATTACAGGAATAATTACAAAGGATTTATTTGAGAAAAAAATTTTTTCCGTATCAAATATGTGTAAAACATCATGAAAAAGATATCAACTGCCTCAGAAAACTTAAAAAAACACGGTTGATTACTACTAAGAAAACTTTCTAGAAGGTGATTCCTCAAGCTGTGTTTTAAAGTTGCCATGTTTAAGGGGAGGGTTTGAGCAAGCAAGCCAAGAGAGAACTTGGAAGCAAGGAAAAAGGTTTATCATCAATTCATATGTACATTGTAAAGGAGAAAAATAAAAAGAACCTTGCACGCCCTGACAGTTTTCTGAAAATTAATGTCTCAGGAAAAGGTAACTCAGGGAAGTGGCTGCAGTGCAGATTCAATATCCCGCTTTTACAGAAGCTCTCAGAATAAAATGAAAAATCGCTCTTAAATTACATTGACTGCGTTTTGATCAAGGCGAATTGACCGCCGGAAATAAAAATAAAAAGAAGGAGGTTTTTTTTTTTTAAATTAAAAATTGATCGACTTCTAGATGTCCGGCCATAAGCAATAGGTTCTCTGATGGTTCAATGGTCGCAACTCCAAATGTTAAGAGATTTTTCATTAGACAACCTTATATGAACCCCTATTTTTTTGTTTCATGTATCATGACTGTTTTCATTTCCAGCTGTATCTTTTTCTTCTTATATCTACAAAATATTGATGAAATGGAACAACCACGGTAAATAACCGTCGCAGCAGGGACTCTTTTACGAACTTCCTAATACAAGTCTTTGAATTGATTTAATAATAAGAATGATAACTGTGCCTATTGCCAACTCAAGGAGTACTAAAGATTTTTTCTATTTTCCGCTTAGACATGTAAAAAACGGTTGCTAGAAAAATAGCATCATTGTAGACAATAAAAATTTAATCAGCATTTTCTCGAAGCTCCGTTGCACTCTTTAAAAGTCCCCTTTTTTCTTCAAAATGACTTTTGTCTTCGTTTACTCCCTACCTGCAAATGTAAAATTCAGCGTGAAGAGTTCCTTCCTTCCTTCCGTCCCGAACAGGTTTTCTCTGTAAGCTTTTCCAATTGTTTGGTAAAATGACTATCCAAGGGGAATCTTAAAAGGTCTCAGAAAGAATCTTGCATCTAAGTAACGCGGTAGCTTGCTCGTTAGAATGTTTGATAAGAACAAGATCAATTTAAATTAGCATCCAATAAAATCTGGCAGTTTTTATTTCAAACCTCTCTTTAAATTCAAAATTTGGGCCACGAAAGCTGGAACGCTTTTTCCCCTTATCACAGACAGTTTTTAATATTTCAGAGCTTTTGCATATTTAACCATTTTCATGCTTTGTTTTAGAATGAATTTCTACGACGTCATCTGTCCATAAGGTAATGGTCTTTGAAAATAAAAGTTTTCCAGATATACATAAACATAAATGTTCGCACCAAGATTTCAGGGTCGAGTTTTCAAAAAATTAAACTTTTTTTTTTTTTTAAATAAAAATTGGTGGTACAATTAATATTCTCGCAAAAGAGAGTTTCTTGTATGCATTGTGGTACGATTAAGATAACTTTTGTTCTTTAATCTTTGATCTTACTGATCCCTTCGAAACTGAACAACAAAAGCCAGAGTCAGCACAGAATTGAAGTCTCAGGTTCAGAGATGTTGTAACGTTACAATAAATTTGCAAATCAGACTTAACACTTGACGATGATTTTCAAAATAGAATCACCTTTAATTTTAAAAATCTATTCTAACGAATTACATCACACGGTTACCAAGGCAGCCAAAAACTCAGTAATAACCCTGTTGGTAAAAAAAGTTCTCGTTAAGAACGATTACTAAACGATTAGAGCGTATGATGTTGTCTAATCCCTTAATTATAAAGGAAGGGGACAACAGACATATCTTGTAAAGTTTTCTTTTTCCTGATGTGACCCATAGTTAGTGACCACTCACGTCACAGAGTTAGAACAAACCTGTTTTGTCGCTTTACGTCTCACAGATTTCCTCTTGAACGTTTCAGACTAGAGAAGTCAGAAAAAAATTGGAGTCTTCTTGGAAACGCAGAAATGAAATGTCCTCAGAGACAAAAATTAATTTTTCGACGGAAGGAAGTTAATTTAGTTACTGCGTGGCCTATTTGGTACGTTATAACTGAACATCAAGGGGTTGCATTTTTTTATCTGCTATTACTAGTTAGACAAAATTTCCACAAATTCCTGTTGCCTCAAGGAATTAATAATTCTCACAATAATTAATTATGTAAAACTCGAGTATCAGAACCTTTATTTAAGTTATAATAACAGTATATTCCAACCACTTGCGCTACTTTGCAGCAGTTTTACCTATATTGTTTCAAAGTCTAGACGACAGTACATGTTAGTATTGATGCATGTCTTTTCTAGGCACCGAGTCAGTCACCTTTAAGTTATGTAACGTATTAATAAGTTTAAGCGTTCTAAATTGAAGAGTTGAAAAACGTTTGTTCATCAACATTTTGTCCACATAACAGATGAAAGTGCTTCAGTTTTTCCTTCTCTCTGTGTATTTCGCGCCTAATAATGCATAGCAGTGAGATGCATAGAAGTGAATAATTTAAAAAAAAAGTAACAGTTAACGCTTTTATCAGTGAAGCTCCAAACACTTCAAAGGTACTTCATTGATGCCTCCGTACACGGGAGCGACATCTGGGGATGCTTACTCATTTTGGTCGGATACTAACGCGGAGATACTTCGATCCCAAAGAAACTAAGTAAACTCGTATGATTTCTCCCTCAAAGGGAACATCTATCGACGGGATAGATAGATAGATTGCCTGAAGGAGGTCATCAGGTTACTAAAACGGCTAAAACGGCTTACTGTTACCTAAGATATGCGAAGATTTTACGTTAATCAGCTTTCGTAAAATTGAAATCATACCTTTTTGAGCGAAGGGTGCTTTATGCACTAAAGACTATTTCTTTAAGTGGGGTAAAGTGCACGCCACACCCCAATGAATATTTCTCTCCATTTGAAGCCTCAGTTTTACTTTCTTTGATTTATCCTTGTCAAAACTATCACAGAGACACTTTTTAGTTAATTTGGTTACGTAAAAAGACTAATCACGTATAATTCGTTCGTCTACTCAATCATGAAAACGATGATATGATTATGATTCCTAAATTATACACTACAATGCAAAAATGAGAATATCTGTCTAATGAGCCCGTTAACGCTCCCTGTTTTCCAAAGAGCTTGATCCTTTTTTTAAACTAACTTGTTGCCACTCTAAAAAATTTCTTTCCTATCCTTATAGCTAGTGATTGCCTTTTCTTTCGATATCCCGGCATAAAACCAAGCTTAATTTATTTCTAACTAAGAAAAAAATCGTTTCCATTTTTTTTCCATATCAGCCTACGCTCTTAGTAAATAAACCAGGTGTTACACCAGAGACATAGTCGTTAAAGTTGATTATACGAATGTTTTGGAATATCAGGAAATCGTGCTTTGCTTATTTGGGTGCCAATATCGGGTAGAGGCGTACGTATGATACCATATGAAAAAAGTGTCATGAAATAATGAATTTGGCTTCGCTGCAAGGTCCTTAATTGATAGTATTGCACTTGCTCTTGATCGAGTCAATGCAATGTGTATGATGCTGGCACTATGCATCTGAAATTAAAACAAACAAACCTTGGAATTAGAAGAAATTTCATCGGCTTTGAATTATTGAAGGGACTGCTTATTGTTTGTCTCCTGAGGAGGGGTGAGATGAGGGTAGTTGACGATGTTAATTAACAATTAATCTTGTATGGTCCCCCCCCCTTTGTACTCCGTTAGTGACGACAGATCCCAATGAAATCCACGTGATCCCCCCAAAATCCTAAACCTCCTCCCCTATCCCCCCTGAGTGACCATGGCGATTCAGCAGGGTCTAGGTAAGCAGTCTGTTTGACCCATTCCCTACTAATCAGCCAGCTGCATTTCGAGCAATAGCGAACATTTTCTTAGATAAAATTTTCCCAAAAACCAAAACATTGTGTTTTCCGCCTTAATTTTACCGTAAATTTCCTTGTTGTCGCAAGCCTCACCTCTGGTATTCCTGCTTTCAAGATGACTCACTTTATTTCCCCAGACATTTGCTAAAAGAGAACAAATTTTAAGAAATCGAGGTTATCTCTTTACGATTTAGAGCATACAGGGCGTCACTCCAATCCGAGTATGAATAGGTACCATTACACTGTTGAGGAATTTTTAATGAATTCATTACTAGTTGGGGACCTTCATTATTTATCGTCTGGGGTGGGGGGGGGGATTATTGGGGGGTCGCATGGTTTTCAGGGAGAATGGAGGAGGATCAGTCGTCGCTAATATAGTATAAAGGGGAACTATGGAAAATAAATGACTGCCAATAAACTGCCAATGAGCGGGGACGAGGGGAGGTGGGAAGGAATATTAGAATATTAAAGAGCCGACACAACAGAACTTATTTTGACGGGTCCTTTATCTGCAAGGCATGGCGTCCCATCTGACAGCAGACGTAGCGCAAATGTTTCAGAGACTGGCGGATAAGCTTTAAAAGTAGAGCAATTCAGCATTCGTACGCAGACAATACTAGACACACAAACTTACCCAAGGTCGATATACAGATCTTTGTCTCACATGAGCATCTTCCCCCAGCAGACGATTCATTAATATTTTCCAATGTTTCATCTGGGCCGCACTCTTGTTTATTTTGTTTCTTCTTACATAACCGTGTACATCGCGTTTTGCCGTTCTTCTTGCAGCGGCACTTGAGCTTGCAGTCTTTCGTAATGAAAACGCGACCGCGCCTAAATCGTCGACCATCGACGTAACAGAACGATTTGGGAACTGAAAGAAAGCATATTTTTATTCATGGATAGTCAGGTTTCTTTTCTAAGATTTCTGCCGGGCTCACCACAAGGACGTTATAAACTTATTGATATTCAAGTATACTACAGTTGACGTACACGGAATAACAAATATAAAACTAAACTATATGACGTCTCAGGCAAGCTGATGACAACAAAAACAAACACTAAACCACTGAGCCTAAAAGATGTGGAGTTAGGACCAGTTCATATCATTTAAATGTTTTCTTTAACTAAACACATTAGTCTCACAGTCTATTTGTACTTGATACCAGCGAAGCGTCAGGGTAACTTGGCGAAATTCTGGGAAGCGAGGAGGGGTGACGTGTTTTGACCAAGCATGCCATGGGAGGGATGGTAGATTTTATTGCTCCCCTGTTTCAGTTAAAAAATGACCGACTTTTAGATGCCTGTCAATAATCAAAATTTTCAATGACGGTTCAACTGTCACAATTCCAAATTTCTGGTATACTTGCTCTACCTTTAAGAACCCTTAGTTTTTATCATGACTGCTTTTTATAACCTGAGATGTACAAGCATACTGTAAGAAGAGCGGCATTATGTTTTCTCGCCACCCGCTCTAGGGGCCACATGTAAACCATTGGACTGTAGAAACCCCCCTAGCATATAAAATAAGAGTCACCTGCGACACATTCTTGTATGGCGCACGAGCAGTTATTTTCAAGTTGTATTTCACCGTTCCTTTTGGGCCGTGTTCCCTTGGGACAGGTGTTTTTCGAGCACGTCGGCGCACATGATATTTGACCGTTTTCATTACATCTGCATGTCTTGGAGCAGTTATTTAAGCTGAATGTCTCTCCAACTTTGTATTTTTCTCCATTTTCCTTTCTGAAACACAGAACTGGAAATAGAAAATATGATTATGACATATCATGTGATGCACGCTATAGATCAAACAAACACTCTTTGGATTTCCTGTGTGCTTCATTATTATATTACCCTCATTTTGCGCCAAAGAATTAATTGATTAATAAAGGTTATTAGCAAAACTCGAACTAAAAGATATCTTTTTTGCGCCAACTTGCATAAAGATATGAAAAGTGATAAATAGCAACATCTGGCAGTCAAAACTGCAACAATTCTCGGACGTGATTGATTCTCACCGGTTCGATTTGAGGACAAATCATGCTCGTAATTAACAAATCGGCTCTAGCCTCGCGGTCGTCCGATTTTGTTAATCACTCGTATGATTATAGACCGAGTTGGACTCTACTCAATCATGATTCCATTACTAGTCACGCCTAACCTCAAAATCTCAAGGATTAAGCTCTCTCCCTTAGTTTTCTTCGGCGGCTTTAAATGGAAAGTCGCTGTGTCTTTAACGACCATTCTGAATAAATATAAGGCTTAGGCGTATGAAAACATGATTGATGAGGGCTGGATTAACCATTTTAGTTTTCCTCACGACGGGAAGGAGGTAAAAAAAAACAACCCCGGAATCCTTTAGACACAAAACATAAAGTTACTTTATCAAGAAAACAGAATAAGTTTCATTATTTCCTCTACAAAACGAAAAACGCTTTTTGGGAATTTCTTTTATTTAACAGCGATCGCGCCTTTAGAGGGTACGGAAACCAACGTTTAGACACGGAAGTATATTGGATTTATCAAAACACTGTCCGCTTCTTTCGATGCCATTGCGTAAAGCACATTGGCTTCAGTCTTGACAAGATAAGCAGCAACAGGCGTGCATCCATGTTTTTTTTAAAATAGATCTTATTCTCAAAACTGTTGTGTCATTACCAAGGCCAAGTAAACTAAGTGTATTTACCGCTCGAGTTTGAAATCCTTTGGCGCCATGTCTGATCTATGATTTGAATCATAGCGTAGCTTTTTGGAGCTTGCTGAATGCAGCTTTGTGTAAGGAATTTTAATAAAGCTAGCTAGTTTTTTTGGTGCGACGGAAGGCTTAATTATTATCAAATTTTTTTTTTCCTTTTTTGTGAGAAATACGATAAAGATTCTGAAGTGCTTCGCCATTCGGTCTCGTGATAGAGAAATGTGGAGTCTTTACTTCTACTCAACGAACAGTATTAAAGACTCTTCTTAATTATTTATCTTGTTTAAGAATATATAATTTTTCGTGTCAATTCTCTTTTAAATTGCGTAATAAAACTCAGTTTTGCGAGCGTGATCCAGAGGCCACAGGGTGTCACCGAAACGCCAGGTCATTATATCCAATTGATCCGCCATTTAATCTTTTTATCTTTTAGTCGTGTTTACCATTTCACACGAATGCACAAGGCGCATCAGGACGTTTTCTGTCAAGCTAAACGCTTTCTTGAAGGAATTGAAAAAAAAAAAAAAAAAAAAAAAAAAAAAAAAAAAGAAAGAAAAAGAAAAAAAGAATTACAGAACCCTAGATGAGGAAAATAGACCGCAAATTTTTGTTCTACTCTACTGATCAAGCGCCATTAACACGGCCACATTCGCATTGCGAGACCTAATGTTCTGGGTATCGCAACATTCTACGGTTCCCTCACAACTCCTATTATCAGACCACCACCCAACAGTGAGCGCCATCGCGTGAAGTCCGAAACACACGCGCACCGTAATAGTACCTTCTGTAATCTCATTTCTTAAATCACTGTTAATCCTTTTTACGTTGTTTTTTCATGAGGGTCAAATCGTTGCGTGCGTCCAGCTACAGGAGTCGATCACGGGAAGGCACAAGAGAGAAAAACAAAATGCTCAAGAAAGTCACGAAAAATATCAGTGGGTGAGGTTACAAGTTCAAAAAAGTTAAGCAATATTGCCAAAAATTTTAACTCTACTTTCCCACCACTCTCAAAAATGTTTATTCCAATAGTTAGAAACCTGTAGAGGACATCACAGAATTTCTCTCTTGCCTATTAAACGCTGAAATGAGGCTGCATATCATGAAATCGCCAGAGTCATGTTTCTGATTGTTTTTCAATGTCCTAATAATGATTTATGACCAAGTTAATTCCATGACCTATGGGAAATTACGCACATAAGATTGAGTAATGTGTTTTGCAGCAATAGACATCAGCTTAAATGTATTTGTTTCCGACAAATCTTAAACGTACTAATGTTGTACTGTAGACATAATCTGCCTTAACTGGCAATCATTCGTAAACTAGTTAATCAGTCGCCTGGGAGATTTGATGCCCTTGAAAAACAAGGGTTTTAAAAACAACATTATTTCATCGGTTGGCAAAACAAGAAATAGGTTGACGATTCCATAACAATAATCTCTCATCGATATTTCTCGGTGTAACGCTAACTCGAGACACAAAATTTCTCTCCCTGCCCTTTGGTTTTGGGAATTAACCTCAGATTTATCGCAGATGATGATTTTTGTCCAATTACTATCGAGAAATATAATCTCATGTGATCTAAATTGACTCATATCAAAACAAAATTTTAGAATGGAGAGATGGAAACTTCTGCTCGGAAGGAAGAGCGATGTTTATTGTTTTTGCTCGATTGTAGCACAAAGAAAAACACTGAGTCAATCAGGTGCAATCATACCTCAGACCTTTGGATTGCGCGGTGGGATGCCTTGAGGTTAAAGTCTTCGTGGGGAACCAGAACTTTTGTTTGTCTCTCACTCCTCTTGGTGCGAGGAAACGAATAAAATCTTTCGATTAAGTAAACGCCCGAAACAGTTTAACCTTAAACTCGTTGTAGTTTTCGGTTGTCTGTGGCTTTACGCAGGATTTTTCTGACAGGTCATAATTAACCTGGTTGCGGTGTTACAATAAATGCACTTATGTATCCGTGTTTGTTGGTTGTAATTATCAACGAAAGGAAAGGAATAAAACTTGGGCGGCCGTTTCCGCCTAAAAAATGTATCTCATATACAAGTTTTGGCCATACATAGATAAATGAACGGGAGAGAAAACATTACACCTAACCTAACTTATTGTTTTCATGTGATGCGACGCGTTGATTTTAAAACGTGCTCCCAAAAGGCTCTCGAAAATAATATTTCCTGCTTTCTAATTGGCGATAGAATTACCACACTCACTCGCTTTGCGGCTTCTTAAGTCAAGGACACTTTGAAGAGGATTAAACTGGAGATAAAATATCCGAAAAAAAACCGACTGCATTACTGTACGTATCTTCTGTCTCAAAGCCAGTGACTATAGTTTTGTAACCTGGTTAAGACCCGGACTACTTAGCTCATAAGTGGATAAAAAGGGCGGTGTCCAAGTTTGGATTCTGCTAAGAGCTACTATGCCAGACTTTCGCTGAAACTTTATCACCTTTACGACAGTTTACTTTGTATCATGTAGCGATAGCTCTTAGAGATTAAAAACTCATTTATGCCTCGCATAATGTGAGCTTGATAACAAAGAGTACCGCAGGACATTAAAAACACGCAAACAAAAAAAAATAAAAGGGGAGAGTTTTTGAACGAGTACAAGACTATCACTAGCACATGTTATCATAAGTTGTGCAAGTAGATCAAAACAAACGTAAGCGTGAGAAAATGAAAAAAGTTGATTTCACGATGAATCATCGTCTCGAAAAACAACTTGCTTTGTACTCAGGAAGTGCATTAAAAGATTTCGCGTCGTGAAAAGCTGGTAACAGGATTGCCATTCTTGCGAGCTCTTGAAACCAACACTCACATGCATACGCAGGCGTCCGCCCGCTATGAAACTGGCGTTACCTTTTTCAAGGGCGCAGAATCTTCTCTTACAAGTACAACGGCCACCTCCTGAAACAGCTGGGTATTCTTCCTCTCTCAGGACCCTTCCGGGGGGGCATTGAGTAGGTGCAGGAGTAGGGCAAATAGGCAGACAGCTTAAATCCCCATCTACCGTACAGTAGCACTGCGCAGAACAGTCGGCCGTGACAAACGTGGTGTCGGCTGGGTGGGTGTTCCCCTCGAAATCACAGCTTGCTTCATCTAATGATGAAAGCAAAATTAACAATATAATACTAAAAAAAACAACAACTTAATTTTTACCCAATGTTTAAATGGCGTCCCCTCAGAAAGGAGAAGAAGATAACTGAATACTCGTTAAAATGATAAATGTTTTGTTCACCTTTTGAGCTTGTTCGTTGTGATACACTCTTGGCTATCACTGCAAAGTGAAACATCAACAAATTGATTAGAAGTGGGTCATCTTTTACTGTGATTCCGAATAGTGAAGGTGTGTTTCCAAATCTGCCCTACGCCTGGACCGAGATTGACGATTGAAATTTTAGCAACAATTGATATGATTAAAACCACCTCTGTTTGGCCTGTTCAATACATTTACAGAAGCCAAAACATGACTTAAATAAGATTAACTTCAATTCGGACATTTCATTTGCATCACCTTCAGCAGCGATTCAAGTTGTGTCAACAAAAAAAAAAAAAAAAAAGAAGGAGATGACAGTGGCTTAGTTTGGCAGAATTTTCGAAAAGTCGTCACCCGAGAGATATTCATTCAGTTTAACTTAAAAATACATCAGCAGCTTATTTTTAGCTTTGATGAAAACAATCTGACAGAATACATTCCTAGTGAGACTGACTTAGACATTCTTGCTTCAAACAAGCACATCAATTAAAGTTAACACATCAATTTTTATGCGCAGAGCCCACGCAAAACTGCAATCAAACGATTGACAATTAAGCATCACAACATGTACTGGGTTTTCCTGTCAAACGCCGGAAAGATGGAAAATGACAACATAAAGTAAGAGGTAATGATAGTGAAGTACCTTGCAATGATTGGTACAGAATGTTTCTGTCTCGACCCATGAGGCAGCTAAACGAACTAAATGTTGAGGAATGTCACTTTCGCCAATATTTGTCAATCTTCAACATTCAGTTGTTTTCCAACGCGTACACCCGCACGAAAACAAAAAAGTTGCTTTTTTTTTATTTAAAGATTTCAGTGATCAAGACGAACAACGTACTAAACGCACTAACGAAGTAGGGGCGTGAGCCTTTTAATGTCTCGGTATAATGTCAAAATTGTTTGTTTTACTTCGAATTAGAAATACAAAGTACGATTCTCTCTAGCTTTATACCACGCCATTCCAAAGGCGCGAGTTATCAACCGGCTCCACCACGGGACCTGTGTGATATCGATTACTTTCTGGCTAAGCTGATTATAAGAGCTGAAGGATAGTGTCTCTGGGAAAAATTCCGTGCAGTGGTTGGAAACACGGCTATCTTCTTTACGTTTGTTTTTCAGGAGGAAGGGTCATGACACATACTGCGCACCTGAGTGGTAAAACACTCTTATTTTAATAACACAGGATAGCTTATAAAATCAGCAATCGGTGAATTTAAACAATTTGAGAGCCGGGGAGTCTTGTCTGTTGATTTTATCGTCCAGTCGTCGTCACAAAAATTAGGCTTTGCCTGGTCTATCTAAGAAAAAAAGGGGATAAACTCTTGGGGGCTCTTATGTCATTTCAGGAAAATTCGCCGCTGAAACTACGCTTTAATGATAAAAACAATCTCCTCTGTGCGAATCTAGTTAATTCTTCAAAAGCACGATGTTTTTATAAGTCCTGCATACAAGAAAAAAAATCAACACTGTTTCTCGGTCTTTCAGTCCAGACAAAGGACGGCAGTGGTGACATTACGACATTGTCTTTTTTGGAGTGTAAAATTGCATTATCTTCACAATGTTGTTTAGGCGCTAGGAATCGTTGCAAATGAGCGTTTGGCGGTTCGTATAGCTCTCGTGGGATTTTTAGCATCACGAACCTTTTTTTGATAAACGAAAGATCCTCTTAGAAATCAAAGGTGATCAGATACCTTCCTTGTCTGCTCTTTTGTAAGTATGTACTTATCACTGTCTTGTGCACGTCATGATGTATGCGTCAAACAAATGTATAAAGACCACTAAGATTCCCTTGTTAGCTCCAACGAAGCTTAAACACTTACTGAAACATTAATCGCAATTTTTCAATTAGAAAACATTGCTGTTGCTCAACTGTCAAGAAATGCTCGAGATCATTTTAAGAGAGATGTTGCGCAAAGAAATAAACGAAGTGATTCCACTTCAATTAGAAGTCAATGAAATGCGTTTAACCTCACCTGAACAAAGTCCTCCAAACGTTGTCAGGATCACAAGTACTTGAACAGAAAATGAACGCATGCTGCCGAAGAAGTCTTTAGATCTCCAACCTGTGTGGGAAAGTGAGAGCGAGTCTCAGTGGAATTTTAGTCTGCCAGATAGCCTCCAGTGAGTGCCACTTAAGTATTCGCGATGTACTACAAATGAAATTCCTTAAAGCTTTAGCATTCGTTCACCACACCAACTCGACGAGCCTCACATCTTTTTCGATTGTTTTCAATGCAATTACTGACCGCAATGTTCAGTTGTTGATCGGTTGAGGTTATCGGTATGGCTTCAGTCATCCGCTGCTGCAATGAAATTGGATGTACATTTAAGCCGTTTGTAACAATATAGCAAACAGATGTGCAAGCCCCAGATGCATCACGGGCAGGACCATATCTGGTGTTTTTGTAACCAGTTGGAACTACAACATCTCAGTTTATTCAGTCCACCGAACTGCCGACATTCTTTAGACTAGAACCACCACAAGCATGTTAATCCATTAAGCACGCCAGTTGTATTTTTTTTCCAAGACAAAAACCTCCCTCAGCAGCTTCTCGGCTTCAGTTGCGTTCCAAACTATTCCGTGTCCTTAGCGTAAGTGCTTCGCGAAACGACTTCCCTAATTTTTAAAGGTCTGCCGGTCAACAACTTTTCAAATCCGTTTTAGGCATTAAGCAGAGACGACTTTTGCGATAATTTCCTACAAAACAGCCCACTAACAATACGCTCTATTCGTTTAAATCCGTTTAATTGTTAGGAATCTAACTATGAATTTCTTAGTGGTTTGCGGGATGATTTAAATTGAACGGAAATAATTAATCCAAGGAGTAGAAACTTCCAAGTATTATATAAGCACTGCCGGCTGCAAAACAGGAACAATACAGCCCAGCAAGAAGAAAGTTCTCGTAAAACGCATTTCCAGTACAGATTCGCAAAGTCGAGTGGGAGGTTTGATCCAATGAACTTTTTTTTCCTGTTTGCCTTTTATATAAAAGAGTGGTGGAATTTTCTCTTGGAATGCTATTCATTGCGTCTTGAATTCTTCAGGAGGCGGAAAAGCTCACAACCACAAAGATGACATTCTTGAACGGATTTTCGAGTGCTTTATACCTAAAAAAGGGATTTGAGGATTTCGGTGGCGTTCTCTAGAGTATTTCATGTCGCCCATCCATACCACACGCCGAGTTCGGCTGCTTAGTCCGAGAAGTGTTACTGTGTGTGTTTAAAGGATAAAGACTACTGTACAAACACTCATGTGGTTATAAGCCCATACAATTCTACATCTTTCGACGAATTAAATGCGTAGAATTTCGTCACGAACTGTGACAACGGTTTCCGATGCATGTTTTTGAATTTAGGAAAGATTTGTTCTTTGAACTCTCTGTACTGATTGCTTCGCTGTGTCCACCGTCCACTTTTCCGGGGATATCAAAAGTGTACGATAGCTAAAAAGTCTTTATAGAAATTTTCAGTTTGAATCTTATCGGACATATTTCCTCACTAGAATTCCATACCTTCGAATTAACTCAGTGATTGTATCAATACAACCTCTTTGCCGCTTTCTCAGCCTGAAAACGACCCAGTTTGTAAAACGAGGTTTCGCTCAAAGTTAAATGGACTCAATGATTTTAGCTAAAAAGTTGCATTGTTTGGAATAACTCGGTACGTGTTAACTGGAACAGTTTGTCGGATATTTTCAAACTATGGGGATTATCCAGTAAAAAAAAAATAAATAAATAAGGTAGCGTGGAAGACTGTTTTACAGAAATTCCGAAGCACCTAAATTGAAGAATGGGCTCAAGAAAATAAAAAAGAACAGTGATTTCTGGGGAAAAAATATCCTATAAAAAAAAAAAAACAGCCGAGTTGTTTAGCATAGCAAGCGAGTTTGTGTGCTGATGTGTGGTCGACTGAAAATGTAGGCTTCCTTTCTCTCTTTTCCAATGCAGCTAAAGATTTAAATTATTAAATAAATAAGGATTTTTATCATAGTCCTACAAGTCTGGTTCGCACTAATTGACAATTTCCGATCGCGATGTATCGACTGAAATTTTTTTCATAAATTAATTGATAATAGAATAAAAGAACAGTCTGGTAGTTTGGCTTTTTTTCTAAGACGATGTAAATTGGATCTTCTTATCGATGGTCTTGGCGTGGGAAATTGCGGATTCATCTGAGGACTAAATCAGAATTTGGCTATTGCGCAAACAGTCTTCTAGCAAATTTCCCACGACCGAAAAAACTGATTAGCGCGAAATCAGGAAACGTCATTTTCTTCAGTTTGATCGATGGTTGCATCATGTTTCGTTTTTGTTTACCACCGTTTTCAAATTTTAAATTCGAAATTTTTCGTCCTACGAGTTCCAGTATTAATCGTGTGTAACTAAACGTGTTAATTTGTCCTGACTTTGTCTTAAGTTCTAAAGGTAACCTCTTGGCTTCTTTTGTGGGACGCAACCTTCGGGGCAAATGATGACTGAAAACAGTACGTCTCCGTTGTCATCCCGTATCAGGACACGTTTTGGCTTTTTTCCCGCATTACTGATATTTCCGGAGATCCTGGAAACATATAATTATGCGGTCTACAGACTGATTTGAATGGAATGTGAGTAAATCCTTATAGAGGCGAGTTAACTTTCTTGTGAATTGAAAACAAAAAGGATAGCGGTAAACCGCAGGCAAGAGCGAGCGACATAAATCTTATAGGTTTCGAATCCCGCCATCTTTTTGCAAAGAACAGAGACAATTTACGAAAAAAAAAACTCCCCAGATACGTTATCTATTCCTTTCTTATCATTGGTTAAAATAAATACAAAGTTACTTTCTCTGTTTTCGTTGATTTTTGCTTATGCTGACATTGAATTCCATCCAGTTTTCTTCTCAACAAAGGAGTGCGCAATATCCGGTCAAAGGAAAATACCTTCCAAGTACCTTAACCTTGGAAGGACTTTCCAGGGTTTGAATTGTTCGTTCTGTGGCAAATCAATGTCATAATCCTTCAATCTTCTTTAGATTCAAAGAGAGCACAGAAAGCGTAACTATTTAAGACAGAAATTAGGTGACGACTCCACAGGAGTTGACTCGTTAAAGACATTCCTCTAACCAAGAGCACTCGCCTCTTCTAAGAGTACTTCCTAAAGGACAAACTATAAAAATGGCCTGCCTTTATTTCGGATTTATTTCCTTTATGATGTGAACAGAGCAGTGAGAACTAAATAAAATTCACTGCCTCACACGTTGAACAAAAACAACTCATTCTGCAGTCTAAAAAAGCGACCTTGAGCAAGAAACATCAACTGACAGAGACCTTGGAAATGACTGGGTCATGTTTATGGCACATCCTCGTCTACGATCGAATCTTTCATTACAAAGATAACAACTCCGATCGGCGCCAAAAAATATTTGAGTCAAACTATTCCCCTGTCATCAGGAGGGAGTCACAGCGTTCGTGCCTCCACAGTCAACGAACGTATTTCAACATTCGATATCTAGCGTGTTGAGTCCGTTAATTTGCGCTTTCGTGCAAAACACACAAAAAAAGCACACATTTACGAAAGCTTTACTAGCTATTTAACCAGCTCTGAATTCGATAGTAACATTCGTACATTAGACACAAGAAAGCCTTCCTATTGCATTAAAGGGAGCTGTGAATAATTGAAAAAGTTCGGCATTCTGATTGCTTTCTCGAAGTGTATGTAAGGTACACCAAAGATAAGAAGACATTTATCAACAATTAACTTCAACATGCTGTAAACTCGATTACTGCGATCTGGCTTCCAAAAGCTAGGTAACCTAAAATGCAAAAATGTTTAACATGAAATGACATATTTTTAAATGTCTCACTTCTTTTGATTGATGTGTCTAAATGATAGTAATTCTTGCAAATCTTTACATAATTAAATTGGAGCATTAAGTCAGATATATTACTCATCAAATTTTTCATTGATTAAAACATTTGTTCACGGTAACTCTGTGAATCTAATCGTTAGGTATTTGTTGTTACGTAAGTGATTGTCTTAACTTTTTACACGCTTTGTCTACAGACCTTATTAGTTATGTAATGAATTAACTAGGGGCATACTAACAACCCTTCAATCGACAAGGAATTCTGCCCTAGACTCAGGGTTCGTTGATCTCAAATCTTACCGCGGACGCGACGGCTGTAAATTTAACGTGAGGCTCATTAAAAAATAATAATGACAAAAAAGAAAAAACAGCTTAGAAAAAAACAAATGCGCTGCAAGCTACAACATTAGCTTTAGCCGGTTCCCCACTGCGAATATGAGTTGTATTGGTGCGTGCCAAGACAGATTTGCGGAAATTCTACAACTTGCAGGAATTGTCCTCGTGTCTTGGGCCGGAAGGCTCAGAAGTTTCACGCTTTTGACTTGCGCTCATTTCATTTTCATTCTGCCTGGTTCTCTCAAAGCTAAACAATTCTTGATTACTAACTAAGCCTTTTTAAAGACATTTTCTAAAATAGGTTGCACAGGTAAACTGCACAAACGGTCTTACGTAAGCTATATTACAGCCCATGGAAGTTTCCTGTTTACCCTTTTGAAGAGAGCATTGGAGCAGTAAGGGGCAACAGTTTTCATAACAATGGGAAATAAACATCTAACACTTCTAGAACCCAACGTCTGCAATACCTAACTTTTCGTTATGTCCCTTGTATGATGATCAACAACTGTTTGGTTAAGATTTCTTCCAATTTCAAAACCCATTTGAGGTCATTTAGAAGAGCCCTATATCATGGAAGTTTAACTAACTTGGAAGAAACATTACACTTGTTTATACACGTAAAACAATCAAGTTCGAAATATGTACGTGACTTATGGATTACGTTGTCTTCAAAAGACTAAGGTGTAAAAGCATTAGTTTTCTTTAGGATTATTGCAAGACAATTACAACTGAGAAAATTCCGTCTTTATCGATGGATAATTTCCTAACGTTTCTTATTATCCGTTAAGTAAAACAAGTGTGGTTAACAGCTTTAAGTGCTTCATATTAAAGATTCGACAAAGACATTTGTTCATCAGACGTTCGCAGCGAATGCTAAACGCCATGCACTTAAAAAAGCAAAAGTTTGATCAAGTTCTGAACCAGAGATTTAAGAGCGAAAGAATCGCGAAAAATTTCGGTAACAGTCAACTAACCCATACCACTATCTTACCTTGAATATGATACTCGGAGCTGTGCTTTGGGGTGCAGAACGTGAGAGCTGTGGTCTAACTGCTTCGTTAAATAAACAAACCTAACCATATATCTTTTTCGTGATCTAAATTCCCAGGGAAAAGGATATCAGATTACCCGAGGTGCTCGTGTGAAGTAATATATTCAATCAACAGCTGATGAAGACGCGGCTAAAGAAAATGCGATTTACGGCTGAATTTCACCACTGATAAAACTCAATTAGCAGCTCAGATTGTTCATTTTGTCATTGATGGAAACGGTATTCAGTGGAAAGGCGCTTCATTCAAACAGCAGCACCTTAGGAGAATCGTGTAAAAATATGAGAATTGGGAAAGGTTACGAATGGATCGTCTCCTCATTTCCTGTTAAAGGATGTGCAGCTTTTCGTCAACCCCATCTCAGTGCTATGACAACTTAAACATTTTTCATCGAATGCATTGACCACGCGCGGGATGTCAACAGCGAAAAAGGAAGGATCCTCACCAGGTGTACACGCCTCTCTCTTGACCTGACACGCGGGGTTGGAGGCGGGGGGAGATTCCTTCAAATTAATTGTGTCTACTCCGGGATTCAAGCGGTAACTCGGCTTTTATACACAACTTATGACGCAAAATGAATCCCCCTTTTATTTGATTTATAGAATACAAGCACTGCACATACCTTTCGCTATGATGTATGCCTTGGTAAAGAAAAAGAAAATACCTGAGTCACTTCAACTGACGTTTCTCTTTATAAGCTTCGACAAAGACACATGTCAGTCTTAATACCATT